GCTGAGTTGGCCTCTTCTTGCATGTGTGAATGCACACTTGCTGGCTGCCTCTCCCCACCCCCAGCCCCTGACACTTGACTTTCTGCCAAGGAATTACTTAGCAAGAAAGCCCTTGCCAGATGCCAGCTTCTTAATTCTGGATATTTCCCCCTAAGACTTATTTATTTATTTGAAAGGCAGTGTGTGTGTGTGTGTGTGTGTGTGTGTGTGTGAGAGAGAGAGAGAGAGAGAGAGAGAATGTGCTCCCATCTGCTGGCTCACTCCCCAGATGGTTGCAGCAGTCAGAGCTGAGCCAGTCTGAAGTCAGGAGCCAAGAACTCCATTCAGGTCTCCCACATGGGTATCAAGAACCCAAGAACTTAGGCCATCACCTGCTGTTGCCAGGCACATTAGCAGGAAACTAGATTAGAAGCAGAGCAGCTAGGACTTGAAACAAGCCAGGTATACACCATTCATTTCAGGTGTGAGTCAGGTGTGCAAAGGCATAAATAAAGATTAGGAGTGAATACAGAGAGACATTTGATAAATCAAAGTCCCAGAGTATCTAACTTTCAAGACTTAGAAACTGAATTTTCAGATTAACCCCAGAAAGGCAATGCAAAGATGATGAGAAATCAGTAATGGAAAATGAGGTTGATAATTAAGGAAAGAGAGCAGAGTAGGAAGACAATGGGATGAGGAGTTCATCTTGATTCTGCCATTTCCCATCTATTTGACTTTGAGTAGTTGAGGAGAACGGTGCACAGTAAGTTTTCTCATAAGTACAAGGCTTTGGACATAAGAAACCTTAAGTTTCTTTAGCATGGGAAGAGTTGGTGCTCCTGATTGGAAAGTGTGGTATAGTTTCACAAATGACATGTTGGTTACAATAGTCAAAACATCCCCACTCCCCACCCAGCTATTGCTGAACCCACTTCAAAATTCTAGTAGCACTGAAGAAACATTGATTAGAAGGTCAGGAAAAAGCAACTGCTTAATAAATGATGTTGGGTACTCTATCAGAATTGAATGAAAGAATTGTTATATCTTGTAGTCTGAAGAATTTTATTTCTGTCATTTCCTTCCCAAGTTAAAAAATGTAAAGTCCCAGAATGGCAAACAGCATTCCAATGCAGAAAGAACTGTGGAAATCATATCATGTTCCCTTCGTATCAGATACGGCCAACTTGGAGATGTGAGAGACTGCCATAGGTTTGAGGCATTTCAATGTAATACTACTTTTGAGAATTTAAGATATTATGATTTAGTTATAGAGAATTGCTTTTTTTTTTTTTTTTTTGACAGGCAGAGTGGACAGTGAGAGAGAGAGACAGAGAGAAAGGTCTTCCTTTGCCCTTGGTTCACCCTCCAATGGCTGCTGCGGCTGGCGTGCTGCAGCCGGCGCACCACGCTGATCCGATGGCAGGAGCCAGGTACTTCTCCTGGTCTCCCATGGGGTGCAGGGCCCAAGCACTTGGGCCATCCTCCACTGCACTCCCTGGCCACAGCAGAGAGCTGGCCTGGAAGAGGGGCAACTGGGACAGAATCCGGCGCCCCAACCGGGACTAGAACCCGGTGTGCCGGCGCCGCAAGGCGGAGGATTAGCCTAGTGAGCCACGGCGCCGGCTGAGAATTCCATTTCATATGAATAAGTTTTATTTTGTTGGGCTGTCTCTATTTGCAGGAGTTTACCATATCATAGTGCCTTGGTTCCCCCCTGCAATTCAAAATGACATTCAAACCTCTAGTCTGTAAATATGAAAGTGAACAAGTTCTTATACATTAATCCAATTCCTTAATCAAAAGAAAGAAGTCCAAATCCAGGTAGAATTAGAATTTCATGAAAGAATTAAATTGTTATTAATTAATTGATCTTTGCTGAATCAAAAAATCTTGTTATTGATCTATTAAAATATAGTAATAAAGTATTCATGAATCATTTTATTCTTAGTAAAGTATTCTTAGTATTCTACGTAAAAATATTTTTAATTTAATTATATTTTTACTGGGGAAAAGAAATATGACTTTGGTTCCTCTGTTTAATCAGAGCCTCACTAAAACATATTTGCCTCACAATTTATAGACATTAAATGATTTTATTTATTTTAGGAGACAAGAATCATATCCTTAAGACAACAAAGATTAATGTAATCTTAGTTCTTCTTTAAAAGATTATTTTAAAAGCATAATTATTTGTACTTAAATAAATACAAAAATATCTTGCTTTACAGCTATGGTTCTATGCTGTGGGGTCAGAGATTCAAATGCTGGCCCCATAACTGACTTCATCATCCTTATGCTTATGTAAAAAATAAAGCTATGAATGGCATGTATCTCACACATCTGCTTTGAAAATTCAGTGAGAGAATACATGTAATGCAATCACACATAGACTGTGCTACAGTTGTAATGCCATTCTCATGAATATTCTTTTTTTTCAGTGATGATAAATTCATTTCATCATTTATTTAGATGTTTAAGCTCTTGCACTAAATTTTTACAAGCTGGCGAACACTGATAAATTATTTCTCCCACAGAACTATAACCACACATTCCCAGATAGTATAAATATGTGGTTGAACTAACATTAATATATATTGCCATTTTATCAACTACATAATAGAACAAATTATCAAGTAATCAAATATTAAGTTATACAGCTCAAAAGGCATATAAATTACTAAATGTTGGCTCAATTCATTAGCAGAACCCACTTATTTTTTTTCTTCAAGATGTTGGGAAGGAAAAAAAAATCACACTTCAAACAAAAATAAGTTGGTAAACAACTTATGATAAGTATGGAAAAAATTACAACAATTTCAGAAATTTTATGATTAAGAATTTTAAGCTACAATAATAAATCATCTCTATCTCTTAAAATATTTACTAAATTAAATAACATATTCTACATGTTTTGCACAAGACATAGGCCACATTTTACTAAAATATTTAATAGCCCCCTCCCATTATTTGCTCAGGCCCACTCTGTTAAGGTGCACCTCAGAGTCCAACTTGAATTAACATAGAATTAACTGTGTTTTTTTTTTTTGGTCTGAACACATTAAAGATATGTGCTTCTGTATAATGTAGATTTTCAAAATGGAGCTTTATATTAACAGCAAAAGATTTATAGAAATGTTAAATAATCATAAGACTTTGTAAAATAGAAATCAGTGGTTAAGCAAATCTGATGTATACTGCTATGAATGTGGGAGATGTAAACATAAAGTGAGCAGGCAAATAACCATAGAGTCCCTAGTTTCAGTGTTTGAAATGATTGAAGGAATAAACCACATAAGGTCTGAGTGTTTGTAGTTCCTGGGATTTTAACTCTGTAGGATACTAAAAATATAGAAGTATTGTACTGGATATTTTGGCACCTAATCTTTCTTTTTTTTTTTTTGAAGGTTTTTACTTAATAAATACAAATTTCATATGTACAGCTTTTAGAAATATGATGGTTCTACCCCCCCCCAACTCCCACCCTCCCTCCCACTCCCATCCTACCTCTTACTCCCTCTCCCATTCCATTTTTCCTTAAGATTCATTTTTAATTGACTTTATATACAGAGGACCAACTCTATACAAGGTAGAGATTTCAACTATTTACACCTCCACAGACTCACAAAGAAAAGTACGGTTTGAAGACAAGTTTTACTGTTAATTCTCATAGTACACCTCATTAAGGACAGATGTCCAACATTGGGAGTAAATGCACAGTGACTTCTGTTGTTAATTAACAATTAACACTCATATTTTTGATGTCAGTGACCACCCAAGGCTCTTGAAATGAGCTGCCAGGCTATGGAAGCCTATAGAGTTCACAAACTCTGTCAGTATTTAGAAAGGGCCATATGCAAAGTGGAAGTTCTCTCCTCTCTTCAGAGAAAAGTACACCTTCTTTGATGACCCCTTCTTTCCACTGGGGTCTCCCTCATAGAAATCTTTCATGCAGAACAGTTTTTGTCACTATGTCTTGAGCTTTTACCTGAAATGCTCTCATAGGATTTTCAGCTAGATCGAAGTGTCTTAGGGACTGATTCTGAGATCAGAGTGCTGTTTAAGGTGATTGTCATTCTGAGTCTGCTGTATGGACTGCTTCCCCTATTGGAATTTTCTCGCCTTTGTAATTCTATCTATTGTTATTACCCGGCACTTGGTCTTATTTATGTGATCCCTTTGACTTTTAATCCTATCTATATGATCAATTCCATACTTAATATGATTACTTTATCACAAAAAATGGGATGAGTGCCACCCAGCTTAATGGGATTTGGAGTCCCATGGCAAGTTTTTAGCTTCACTCTTGGAGGTAAGTTTGTGGGAATGTGGCACCTAATCTTTCTAAATTTCTTATGTATTGAGAAGATTCTGGCACGGGAATAGATTTAAGATACAACTCAATACTACATGATTTCAAGAAAAGCCAACTGATACAAATGATAAGCACATTTTATTTTATTTTTTTAAAAATATTTTATTTATTTATTTGAGAGGTAGAGTTACAGACAGTGACAGGGAGAGACAGAGAGAAAGGTCTTCTGTGTGTTGGTTTACTCCCTAAACGGCCACAATGGCCAGAGCTGTGCCAATCCGAAGCCAGGAGCCAGGTGCTTCCTCCTGGTCTCCCATGTGGGCGCAGGGGCCCAAGGACTTGGGCCATCCTCTACTGCTTTCCCAGGCCACAGCAGAGAGCTGGATTGGAAAAGGAGCATCCGGGACTAGAACTGGTACCCATATGGGATGTTGACACCTACTGCGCCATGGTGCCAGCCTCGATAAGCACATTTCAAATACCAAACAGCAAGAATCTTTTGCTAAATGTTGAAATATGTTGGTTATAACCCAAAGATAGAGGTTGCAATTCTGTCAGATTTATGGCCTGGTAAAACTGCTTTACAATACCTTTTGGAAGTTTAACTAAACTTACTCACCAAGCCAACATGTTGGCTAATATACATGACAAATTAGATCCTGTCTCAAGTTCTACTTCCAGGGCAATAGCCTTAGGTACCCCAGTTTTACTGAATGCAACAGTTGTTTCTATGACCATTGGAGTCTGTGAAGCACAGCCACCTCTTAGGACGATATTTTTCCAAATACAAAAGTTGTTTGCTGTTAAAAGCTCCACGCCACTTTTGTGTTTTGAACTGTATTGCATCTTCATATTTCATTTCACTTTCATTGAATGCTAGGGTGACAAGCAATGGAGCTTTCCCAAGGACTGCAACATAATGAACAGTGATAACAACAACCAGGTCCTTCACAAACTTGATTTTTACAAGATTTAACCAGTCATCAATGATCAGGTTGCTTGTGGTCCACCATCACCAAAAGGCTAATGGATAACATGGCTACCTTCTTTCTCCACAAGATTAGTGTCGTAAATTGCTGCACATACTCTTACTTGCATGGTAACTCCATATTTCTTAAGTTCCTCAATAAATTTATTTAATGTTGCATTGGTTGGATTATGTGTAATGAGAAATCTCATGTTCTTGTATGTGACTTCCACAGGAGCTGGGTGGTTCATGCGGGCCATGTTAATTTACTTAAGGAAACACTTAATAGGGTTATGAAAAAATTTGAAGAAAAACAAATACAGGCTGGCACTGCGGCTCACTAGGCTAATCCTCTGCCTGTGGCGCCGGTACTCCAGGTTCTAGTCCCGGTCAGGGTGCCAGATTCTGTCCCGGTTGCTCCTCTTCCAGTCCAGCTTTCTGCTGTGGCCCAAGAAGGCAGTGGAGGATGGCCCAAGTCCTTGGGCCCTGCACCGCGTGGGAGACCAGGAGGAAGTACCTGACTCCTGGCTTTGGATCGGCGTAGTGGCTATCTGAGGGGTGAACCAATGGAAAGAAGACCTTTCTCTCTGTCTCTCTCTCTCACTAACTCTGCCTGTCAAAAAAAAAAAAAAAAAAAAGAAAGAAAAGAAAAAAGAAAAACACAAATACAGAAATGACATGCAACGCAACTGAAGTCTACTTCACTATCTTCCACTTGTGATTCTCAGTGCTTTAAGTATGAAGTGGGGAGTAACAGGAAAGGAAATGAGCCTCCTAAGAAGAAGCAGCGATTCTTCAATCCAGTAATAGTGAAGCAATAGAAAGGAAGTGCACTGAGGTTTAGCCCATCCAGGTCAGAACTCTTAGAAAATGCTCTGTGGATTTTAACCCAACATTTTTGAGCCCAGGTTAACCACTGTTGGGGGGCTTCTTGGTGGAGTAGTAGCAAATCTTTACAGCTCACTTGTCTGCATAGAGGTCATGCTGTGCCTGGCAGTAGTCTCCACTGCCCTTCAGAAACTCCATAAATGTGTGACCAAGAGCACCACAGAACTGAGGGATATGTTTACTCACCAAAGATTGTGGCCTAATCATACAGCCGATCCTGAGGTGGCAGTGACACGGGCAGGAGTGGTGGATGTAGGGCAGGGGGCCATGAATATTCTTATTATTAACTTAAATGAGGAGAAATTAAATAAGAAATTTGTACAACCCAGGACGTCAAGGCTCAAAATAATCTCTTAAAATGTGACATAATCTGACCACATAGTTCATTTCTAATGGCATATACAGACATGTCACAAGTGAGTACATGTTTCACTATTAAGTTTCCGATTTTTGTTTGTCATAATGCTTGTAGGGATTTCTAGAGAAAATTTCCAAAGATCCTGTCATACATCTGGGATGGAAAGAGGAAGGGTAATTGCACTAAAAGTTGGAAAATGTTTTAGCAAGAAAAATCTTTGGGAATATTTACCTGTTCTACCATATATTTATGTAACTGTTTATGTCTAGCCTCATTCTAAAAATGTGAGGTGGTAATTAGAAGATTAAAGTTTGTCTGGCAAAACTTAAGATTTGATGAAAATAGAAATAATATACTATTCAAAAGGGGATGGAAGGAGGAAAATATATTGAAATATAAATAATAAGAGTTTTAATTAGCTTGAGATGAGAATATTGAATTACTCACTGGAAAAAGAGAACTTTAAAAGAAACTAAGGGGTCTCTGTCTTAAAAAGTACTCTCAGCTTTGTAGTTAATTAGAGTAAGATAATTTTCCTGTGCTCTGTGGAAATTCAGTTACTGAAGCACAAAATATCCCACTGTAAAGTGTGCAACAGCAAAGATCCTCACATCAATGAGTTAGCAATGTGATAAATATTTCTGAATGACAAATTTCCTTTACCAAGTGAATAAAAACTTTTCAAACAAGAAGAACTTAATTGCATACATCTTCAAGTTGGAAAATAAATACTATTAAAAAATAAGCAAACAATGGAAAAAAGTATTAGTGATCTTATTTATCCTTGTGAAGTATTCTTGGCATATCCACATAACACATATGCTGTTGTGGAAGACATTTTTGTAGGAATTGGGGCATGGTAAGATGAAAATGACAATGTATTTCAGATTTGTTAGATACAACAGCAACAAGCAATTATGGACATGTGGTAAGTACTACAGAATTGAGTCCCCTACAAGATGCACACATACACACACACACACACACATTACAAATAAATTACAGGCTGTTCCTTACTATCTGTGGGGGATTGTTTCCAGGATCCCAACAGATATCAGAATCTGTAGATGCTCAAATCCCTTATATGAAATAGTGTAATATTTTCTTATAACCTGTATATGTTCTCCTGTTTATTTTATTTTCTTGAAGATTTATTCAGTTATTTATTTGAAAGGGAGAGAAGGGGGGGAAGAGAGTGAGAGAGAGAGAGAGAGAGAGAATCTTCCATCTGCTGACTCACTCCCCAAATGGCCAGAACAGCCTTGGCTGGACTAGGCTGGAATCATGTGGCAGGAATTCCATCCATGTCTTCCAGGTGTATGGCAGGAACCCAGGTACTTGGACCACTGTCTGCCCCCTCCCAGATGTATTAGCAGGAAGCTGAATCAGAAATGGAGTAGCCAGGACTCAAGCTGGTACTCTGATTTGGGAGGCTGGCATCTCAAGTGGAGGCTTAATCTGCTGAGCACAAATGCTGGCTCCTGCAAGTATTTATTTAAAAAATAGATTTACCTGGGTTTTCTCAAACATGATAAGGAGACAGCTTTCAAAGAACAACTATTAATAAGTTATAGGTCTTTGAACTTTTGGGGAATAGTGTGTGGGGTTATTCCTTCTAAAGCAAAACATAGTATGAAAATAGGTACATTGCAACCAGATAATGAGACACATTTCAAAGTCAAGTATGTATGTGTCTGTTGGCCATTTGCATTTCATCCTTTGAAAAATATCTGTTCATGTCCTTTGTCCATTTATTGCCTGAATTATTTTGTAGTGTTGAGTTTCTAGAGCTGTACATAGATTTATCAATTGCATAGTTTGCAAATTATTTTCTCCCATTCTGTTCATTACCTATTCACTTCATTGAGTGTTGCCTTTGTTGTGCAAAAGCTTCTTAGCTTGATATAATGCCATTTGCTTGTTTTTGCTTTTATTGCCTGTCATTCTGGGGTCTTTTCCAAGTAGCCATCAGAGAAATGAAAATAAAAACCACAATGAGGATTTACCTCAACCCAGTTAGAATGGCTACCATCAAAAAATAAATAATAGTAAAAAACAAACAATAAATGCTGGCGAGAATGTGGGGAAAAGGTGCATGAATGCACTGTTGGTGGGAACGTAAACTAGTAAAACCATCATGAAAAGCAGTATGGAGATTCCTCAGAAATCTGAAAACAGATTTATCATAGGACCCAGTCATCCCATTCTTGGGAATTTAACGCAACAAAATGAATTCAGCATATGAAAGAGTTATTTCTATGCCCATGTTTATTGCAGCTCAATTCGCACTAGCTAAGACATGGAATAAACCCAGATGTCTATCAGCTGATGACTGGATAAGGAAAATGTGGTATATGTACATTGTGGAGTACTATTGAGTCATAAAAAAAGAATGAAGTCCTACCTTTTATAACAGAATGGATGCAACTGGAAACCATTATGCTTAGTCCTAAAAACTATGCCAGTGCTGAAAATACAAATGTTCCATTTTCTGTGATTTATGGTTCTTAATATACAGAGTTCAAAAAGTGTAATGTATATGAGTGACATTGACATTTTGAGATTTGATTATTGTTTATAGCCCTTGTCTATACCATTAAGGAACAGTGGTTTTTCCATTTACCATTTGTTGAATTCTTTATTTGGTGGAGGGTTAAACTTGTGATTATAAAATAAACTGAAATTATGTCATTGTAAAAATTAAAAGAAAAAATAAGAAAGGAATGAGGAGGGAGGGTGACACTATTTATATATTAAAAGATATTTTCTTAGTGAGTATTCCATTATTCAAAGTTAATTTAAAAATATTTATTTCTCAATTTATTTGAAATGTAGAGAGACAAACACACAAACACAAAACACACACATATCTATCTATCTATATCTATCTATGTATCTATGTATCTATCTATGTATCTATCTATCTATCTTATCTACCTACATAGAGAGATCTATCAACTGACTTGCTCCCCAGTTGCCTACAATGGCTGAGGAGCCAAAAAATACCATCCAGGTGTCTCACATAATAAATATTTGACCATAATTTGCTGACTCAAACCAAGTACCCTGATATGCAAGGTGGGTGTTCCAAGTGGTGCCAAGTGCCTAAAAAGCTGTGCCAAATGCCCACACAATGACTACTATTTTAAATAAAGAATTTGAATGAGGCATGAAAATGGGGAAATGAACAGATGAACAATTATGAGAGTAATAAAATCTAAGGTCTAACATTGATCTTAAAATGAAAAATAAAGCTAGGAACCAGAGCTCCCAAGAGATTACAAGTTACAGGAAAGACTGAGTTTTCTACATGCTGTATGATGTAGAAAGAATACAGACTTAGAAACATAGAAACCAGGCTTGAATCTTACTAGTCATGTGGCTTTGGCCAAATTGCTTCTTTACGTCTGTTTTCTTCTCTGCAAATTAAAATGTTTTCTTTTTTTTTTGGTAGCATACTTGGTTATTGTGAGGATGGAGTGAGGCAATGACTGAGGAAGAGCACTGAAGAACATAAAGTTGCAACATCAATCATTACTACTCACCCGGTGTTTCACACTGAGCAACAGTAACACCTCTAAAGATTCCCTAGCCACTATTCTAAATTAATTGTTTTTATGAAGCAAGAAAATAAATTCAGAGTTTCAGATCAAGTTCTACATTTCTGTTCTTCAGTACTCCCATGGAAGAGCATTTTAGAAGTTTCCTATGTCTAGAAACTTGAAATAATCTATTAACACTAGGCTATAACAAAGAAGCATGACAAATAGTTCCATTTATAGACACTAAACTGACCAACAGACGGTGGAAGGAGCAGTCTAGACGTCAGATAGTGTCTTTATATACTGGGGGACATCTGCATCCTGAGTACTCAGCATGGTCTTGTTGTGAGCTACTTCTGCTCCTAACAATATTAATGGGCTCATTCCTTGTCAAAAGTTTATTGTACATAGTGTAAATTATACCAAGGATTATTTCTAATGATTTTGCCTTAAATAGCTCTGTAACAACAAC